GATCAGAATAGATTTTCTATTGAGAAATGTTTGCACTATAGCAAAGAGATATATTAAACGTAGCTGAAAGTCTTTGAGGCACTGTAATCCAGCCTGAATCACTGCAGGTGAGGTGTTTGAGGTGCCTAAACTTGCTTGGATGTCTAAGGGCTATGTTTCTGTCAATAAATTGGCTGTTGTCTACACGTACATAGGTGATGAATGTCATTTGCTTTCATGACATGAGTGCCTCAAATTTCAAGTGAATTTTGTAAGAAAAATCTCTTACAAAATGTAAATATGTGGATTTTCCCTTCCCCATCTGTTGAATGACTCTCAAATAAAATTTTATTTAAATGTTTCTTAGAAGAAGCATAATTTCTATTTCTTCTTGATAAATAAAGATTCTTTTCAAAAAACATCCCATGGAATTTCAGCTGTATAGTTTGAGCTGATGTATTTGATTTGCATTGCAGTGGTGAAGACTAAAAATATGGTAAACATTAAATATTAATGTAGCTTGTTGTACCTGTTGGATTTGAACCATTTGAAACTGCTTTAGGTTATGTGTACACTTCTGGGGGGCACTCAGAGATCATTATATTTTCCAGCAATAATAACGGGAAGTGTATTTAAACTGGTGAAGGAATGGATGCTGGCTAAACTTTCTATACTTCTTTTCATTGCGAAATTTTATTAGTTGTGGGTGTAGGACAGCTTTCAGAATGTATTTTTAAAAAGTAATATTTTGCATCTAAATAGAGAATATGCATATAAAATTTCATCTGAAAGAGAAAATCTTCAATTTCACAAATTAGTTCATTATACACATACTGCAGTGTATTTGCATATTTTATACTGCTGTGTTGTGTCTGTGTAATTTAAATCTAATTTACTAAGCAGTTTGATCTAGCTTTAGTTGATCTTGGAAAATACAGTCTCAGTATAAATGTGTCACACATGCTTTGCATGAATTTAAACTGTATGACTGTCATTGTTCATCTGAAGTGATTGTCCATCTGTTATCTTTTGAACAGAGTCCTTTTTATGTGTAAAGAATTACAATATTAAACTTTGATTTCTTTTTGTAATGGGCTTTGAATAAAAAGTTTCCTGACTGCAAAACCTAAACTTGTTAAAGGAAGCCTGTGGAAGGACCAAGCCAACAGACAGCCAATGAGATTTTTCTTCAGTGCTATCAGTTGCTTGCTGTTCTCTCCAACAAATGTTTTTTATGCTTAATTTTTGAGGGAAAATAGGTCAAAAATCTAAATGTCTCTAAAGGAAACTCCTTCTAAAGATTCTGATGAAAACTCAACTGATCTGTGAGAATTTGGCAGACTGGAGAGGAAGGAGTGCAGTGATGTCTGAATTAGCACCCAAATGCCTAAAAACCCGAGAAAGACAGATAAATGGCATTTTACAGAATGTTCATAAATTGGAGTTTAACTTCTAAGGTGGTTCAGAATCGCTTGTACTTGAAAGTGAAAGCTCAGCATCTTCACAGAACTGTGTGCAAACACACTTGGTTTTTAAAACCTTCATTCTTCTTATCACACTTAGCCTCAACTTTCTAACAGTTGTAATTGTCCACAGAAAACATTTCAAGATAAATGCATTATCAGGTTTTGAAATTTTCTTATTTTTGTAAATACTAAGACCTGGGGGGCAAAATAAGGGCTATATTGTGGATTAAGTGAAATATCTCAAGGCTGTGCTTTTCTGATAACTGAACCTGAAGTGACCTTTCTCAGACACAATTACAGAGCTGTATGTTTTTCCTTTAATTTCATCAGGGGTTTAATTAGTATACAAATAAAACTTCCCTTATCTTCCTTTCTACCTAATTGGCTTGTCTTTGCTTATATATGAAGAATGTGAAAATGGGCTGTAATTAGGATGACCGTGTTAACCTTTTTTTCTCAAATGTACTGTTGCCTAAAGGCCTCAAAGCCTAAAACCAGTGCTTTGGATTATTGCTTTGCAATCACTATGGCTCTCCCATAGGTTTTCTCATGAGCAGAAGGGCTTTGGGTGCTGCAGGTTCCCACTGCTTAACGGGATCTTCATTCTTCTCCCCACTAAATGTTTATTGATTATCTCACTGCTCCACACTCAGCCTCCAACAACTTAATATCAGGTGACAGTCAGGAGAGTTCTCCAAGTAATTAGAGTGGAGCATTGAGGGAACAATTAGGAGCAGAGTTATTAAACTTGATTTATCCTATTCTCTCCTGAACACTTTCTTGGATATCAGAACATCACACTTTCACAATCTACCCTAGCTGAGAAATTAGTGGCTAACCTGCTGCTTATCATTGTTGCCTTGCTGCCTTGAGGCACACCCTCTTGGTTTCAGTCACTCAGCTGGAAATATTAGAGTCCATAAAGTTTATCAAGGGTTTTAATTAGATCAATCTGAAGAAGCAAAAAAAGAGGCTTACCAGCCATTATTTTATAATACACCACACTGTATTTGAACATTTCCAAGGCTTGACTTTAACCCACAGTAGCAAGAAGCTTCAAGTAATTGCTGAAACTGCTTTTGGAGTGCTAAAATCAGTTTCCATTTTGTTTAGATATTGCATTGTTACTAGATAAAGTATTAATCCTTTAGAGATTTCTGTAAATAATGGGGTTCTCTTTGAATTGCTCTTTGAGCAGCTCTTCAGTGAGATACTTGATTTAACCATTTCTATATTGCTTCATCACTAGCTAGCATGGATTGCTGACCATGCTCCTTAAAAAAGTTAGACCCTGCTATTGCCTCATTAATAGGCATGTGCTTGCAATGAGTAACCTAGGTTAGTTAGCAGCTCACAGAAGATTTTGACTAGTGGGTCTTTTCACTGTTCATGGTCAGTAATGAAAGATTTATGTCGGAGCCAACAACTCTTCTACCCCTGCAGATGGATAGCTATAATAAAAATAAAATAAATATGCATAATGTTCCTATTATCCTGTCTTTCTCTACCATGGCTGCTAGGATGCTGGGACCAAAATCCATTCAACAGCATCTGCATCAAAAATTTCTTGCATCAAAATACTAGCAGAAACTTCTTAAAACCAGATTTTTCAGTCAGGTGGGAAGCTGGGTTGGACCAAACATTGGTAATAGAGACCTTGTTCTGTGTATAGAGACCTTGTTCTGTGCTCAAATATAGTCCATTTTTCAAAGGTGGGAATATGGGCAGGGGGTTACTTGACTTGGTTTTCAGAACTCTTTCCTCAATGTTGAAAGCAAACAGTAAACAAAATAATTGGAAGAAGATAATGCTCTTTGTTTTTGAACCAGAGATGGATCCTTTTATCCACGCTAATCCACATTTCAGTTCTTGGAAATAAAATTTCTGAAAATCTGATAATTCACAAAGTCATCTGTTTAGACAGGGATTTGATTAGCTGCCAGTGGCTTAAGGGTAGAATTTCTGAAAACAAGGCTTCTGGTTTTGAATATCCTTGTGCAGTGGATGAATGCTATCTGTGTGTTTATCTTTCCTTAGGGGAAATATATCAGTTGTTTATTGAAAATAAAGACATAAGAGTCAAAATAGAATTATTCAACCTGCAGTCATTTGAACAAGAATAATATTAACATTTCTAGGTTTAGAGTTTCTTAAATAAACTTCAGCGTTTTTTTCTTACAGTTGTGATTAATTTCAGCTTAGATTTTGTAAATTCCTTTACAAGTCTTCAAGTGATGGTGCTGTACCTTCAAAATACACCACTGTTGAAGTACTGGTTGCCTTTTCTCTTTAGGAATGTAAGAAGAAGACTTATGCCAGTCCAGAGATGACAGTTTATTTTACAGGACTATGCAGTCCTTTGCTGTAGATTGTTATTTTATAGAAAATTTCTCTATCATAATGCTTTTTGAAATGCCTCTGACCCTTAAAGAGGTCTGAAACTTCTTCAGGTTAGTTGAGTTTTCAGCACCCTCCAAATTTTTATCAGCATTCTATATATACTGTTCTTCACACTCATCCACAGCATAGTAGATCTCCATGTTCCAGAGTCAGGACATAGTACTTCTCCATGTTCCATGGTACTCAGGACATGTACTGAGTACAAATTATGCACAGCATTTTTGGAATTCAAGCAGAAAATATACCCATAAATTTTGAAAAAAAGGTGTGTAAGAGCTCAGTCTTGCAACTATGCAGCCTTCTCTTCTGTATTTTAGGATCTATCAGGAAATATGCTACGTGTAAAAGTATGCTTATAACCACTGATTATAATTTCTTTCTAAAAAGGCAATTAACAGCTATAAGTGAAATGTAACATGTAACAAATTATGAAATCAAATTATTAATACTCCAGTCTATAAATGTATTGATTTATCCCAGCAGAAAGGATGAGAAACCAGCCAGATTCTATATTAATTAGTCCTGTGTGCTATTTTTCACCTATTGGATTAATCTGAATTGATTAAAGCATGTTGTGTTAATTCTATGCCAGAGAGAAATGTTTAGAAAATATATATATTATTTTGCATATTGGGAAACTAATATTATAATAGTGAAAGCACCATAAAATAGACTGTACTTGATGCGCTAACAGAGAATATGAGATTATCTATTCTACTGAAATTTCTGAACTGTGTAAAATTTTTAAATAAATATTTCTGTGTTTATTCCCTTTCATTGTGGATTCCTTTCTTTAATATTTATTTTAAATTAGGTTTTGTGAATATTCCGTGTTCTTTAAAACTGTACTCTTGATACTTCCTTTGCATTTAGATCTAATATTTGTAAATTTAGTACTTGTAGCATAGTGTATGTCCCTGCTTGATCAAAAAATAATTTTATTTTATAAATATATTTGTACACAGTCAATATACTAAAAACTGGAGGGTTCTAAGTTGGTAATATTTTGGTAGAGAATTCATAAAACCTTAGTATGCAATGGTCCAAATCTACTACACAGTGTAGTCTGTTTTCCCCTTTGTTTAATAGCCTATGGCATAAACTGAAGTTAATTATTTGCGCTGACAAGTAACTCTGTTTTCTGTCTGCTTGCAGAGTCTCTCCGAGGCAACGATGGAGCTGAGAAGAAGAGATCGATTTCTGCGTCAGCAAAATAGACTTCTTACCCAGCTGGAGCAGGACAAGCGTCGACTGAGCGAGAGCATCCGCGATGCAGAGAGTGCCCTCTGCACGGCAGCCAAGTGAGCCCTGGGACCTGGGGGAGATCACTTAAAACAGACAAAAGATCAATTCTCACTTTCATGCACAGGGTTTTAGCCTTAGCTAATGTAATGCTAGAAAACAAAAGTACATCTGTCTCTCTTTGAAATTCAGTGATAGACTTCGAAAAAGAAAGCTGTTCAAGACACTGCACGTTATGTTTTCTGTAGTTATCCCATAATAGTGCTACAAATTATTGGTCCAAAATGCATAAGCATTTTGTCTGCCAATTACCTTACTGATTTGACAACATCTCTTCGATAGATCCTTCACATTCTGTTTGTTTAAGGAACGATTGTTTGTTCTAAAGGGGCTGAAACCCATTTTGGACCGAGGCTTATCTGTGGAATAGTATAGATATTTCTTCTGATTTCAGAGAGCTTTGGATTTAGATGTAAGCCCCATGCCTTTTTATACTATAACTTGAAGAGTGGAAGGAAATGTTCAGGGACCATTTCTGAAAGTATTGGTAGTCAAAAGCTGTTCCATTGACTTGAATGAGATTATTAATAACCTCTTAGAGTTATGTAGTCAGATAAAATTATAAATCCTTTCAGACTTTGTTATCTATTCCTGTTACAGTAGTATGCACTTTGAATATTATTGGTCCATGGCCAAGATTTTAAAAAAGTTCAATTTAAAATTAAAATTTCTCATTATACGTGGGGTAGATTTGACCTCTGAAGAAGAATAGCTTAGAAGCTTTAAGGGGCTTATGCACCAGCAAAATAATGTAATTAATATAGTTATCAGTGATATGTTTAACGAGCTAATTAAAATGACAAATATTATTTAGTGTAAGTGTATCAAAGCAGATTATGGCCCAAAGAAGGATTTGTTCTTAAAAGCCTTCTCCTTTTCACCCTGCCCCAATCTATTTTATGCACTCCACTAAGGAGTGCATATGCACTCCACTAAGGAGTCCCTATGGCCATTCTTATATTCAGAAAAGGTTTTTTTGATGTGAAAACTTCCAACCATCATTGTTCTCACCATAAGAACTCTATGTTATGTTCTAACATAAACTGTTCTACTTGTACTTCATAAAAAGTGCAAGTGTCTTTTTCTTCCTTTGGAGCATGTAAGCAAAGTAGCTAAACTGACTGTGGTCTTATCTGGAAACTCTGATTTTAATATCAATTCCATGACCTAAGTGATTGTAGGCAATGCATGGGTGTCTTTCAGTTTCTTTCCTAAATTTTTGTAGTGCTGTAAAAGACAGCAAGATGTCTAGCTTGTTCTGAGAATGGCTGACTTGATTTTCTTTAAGTGGTGGCTAGCAGTTCTTTCCACTTTCCTCCTGAGTAAGAAGCAATATTAATAAAAGTGTCTGAAACAGTAAAAAACCAGACAAAAATACAGTAGTCTTTTGGTAATTTCTCTCTGTTGTGGTTTAACCCCAGCCAGCAACCAAGTACCCTGTCAATCTAGTCCAAAGAAAGGTAGGATCCTGAAAATAGAAAAGTCTATGTGACTTTATTAGGAATGTAAAAGCCACTTTTACTCTTCTGGCCACTTTCCTGTATTTTCTGTTAAGACAGTGTGAATCAAGAGATGAGAAAGCAGCCATCATTCCATGGGGAAGAATGCCATGATTTTGACTGGAGAAAAAGAGGCTGAGGGAAGTACCTGAAAGGAGGTTGTAGTGACGTGGGGCTTGGGCTGTTCTCCCAAGTAACAAGTGATAGGACAAGAGGAAATGGCCTCAGGTTGTGCCAAGAGAGGTTTATGTTGGATATTCGGAAAAGATCCTCTCCTGAAAGGTTGTCAAGCATTGGAATAGGCTGCCCAAGGAAGTTGTAGACTCTGGAGGTATTTAAAAGATGTGGCCCTTGGAGACATCGTTTAGTGGTGGGCCGGGCAGTGCTGAGGTAAGGGTTGGACTCAGTGACCTTAATGGTGTTTTCCAACCTACATCATACTGATTCTATGGATTCTGGTATTGTAAAAGCTCAAACAAAATATACACATAGCTGGCAAAATGAGAGACAGTTGTGGAATATTAAATAATCATTAATATTAAATAAATAATATTTTCTGGCATGGATTCTATTTGACTTCCTATGGTCATGCTCTCTTTTCTCCTAAGTCATATGGTATTATGCAACTTCAGTTCTATTTTTGTCAATCATAAGTTGAGGCCAAGGTTTTTCATGACAGCATAGCTGATGAGAGCTGTCTTTCTTACTGAAGTCCTAATCTACAAAAGGGCATTAGAGAATTGTTTCATTCTCCAAACCTCCCTATTGTAAAGATAGGATATTTGGCTGGACTTTTAGAAATGTAAGAGAATGTATTCTCTTCCTGCTAGATAACTCCACTCAAGATGCCTTTTAGATGCCTTTTACATCTAAAACTCTTCAAGAAAATGATATTTGTTAATGAATATGTCCATAACAGCAGCTAGTTTGATAGTCCACAACAGAAACAAATTTCATATGGAAATACTCCAAATAGTGGTACATGAACGATTGTTTAAGGTTTGCATTGGGGATATAAAAAAGAGAGACAAAACCATAATACTTTGAGTTATCAACAATTATTTGAAAAGACATGATAGTTAAAAAGTAGCAGAAAATTAATTTCTAAATCAGATGAGTTTCAGTTCTATGATCTACCTCTTGTTTTTTGTCTTGTAATAGAGATAGAGAATTGATCATTAGTCATATGAAAGCTGTAGAAGACGCTCTTCATAAGGTAAGAATTTAAAATTATTCCTCTGATTTGTACTTCTAAATATATCAAAGCTTTACCACTGCTTTCGCTCAGGAAAGGAGGGAGTAGAAGTTGTAAGGTGGCTTCCTTTTCTTAGAGTTTATTTCCACCTTCAACTTCTTTTATCCTAAAAAACTGTTCATTATTAGTGAAGTAAAATACAATTTTATAGTACACGAACTTCTTATTTCTTACTACAAAACTTAACTACAAAAATCCACTTTTCTTCCCTTAATAGCTGAGACCACTATTGCTAGTTACCTAGTGAAGACAGTTGACTATCCAAATACTAACAATTTCTATGGAGCTAAGTCCATGCCGTGTAAGCCAGAGGTCATTTGGTGATGTCACATGCATGTTGGCCATAAAACCATATGGCTTTGTGCATGCTACTTTAGTCTTTGATAAATGATAAAACATAAGGAAAGACAGTAAGATGTAACCTGTAGTCAGAAACTTTCATGATATTTTTAGGGCATTTTTTAATTTGAGTAGTAATCTTAAGTATTCTCTTTGACTTGCACAGTTTTGCTGTGGTATAGCATTATTTGAAAGTCCAACAAAGCTTATATATTAATTATTTAGGCAAAAGGACTGTTTTAACTGTAGCTCTAGTTGTTGATTGTTTTAGAACTGTTTTTAGTCTAGAGCAAAACAAAGCAAAATAAGTGTTTTTATTACCTTGGAGTGTTAATTTCCCTTATCACATCTTGAATTCACAGCAACATGGGAATCTATTCTTCATTTTAGTTTCTGTGTTCACCAAAACTAATTTAATTTTCAGATACTTTTTTCAAGTCTTTCTTTCCTTTAATGTTCAAGAAAGTGACAAAACCTAAAACTGTGTGGTTTAGCTGCAGCAAACTGTGCTGGTAGAAACTATCTTGCTTTTTGCCCCCACCTTTTTCATACTGTCTTCCTTTAAGCATAAAAACGAATGTCAGGCAGAAGGTGTTGTGTTTTGCAGTAAGAGATGCATGTCCTTGGCATTCAGAATTTATTGTCCTGGATTGCAAGGTTACATTTTAGTTTTGAAAGCAATGCCATTATGTGCACAACGATTGAAGTGTTTGGGGAAAGGCTATAGAGAAGGCCACATGCTTAGTACTGATTAACCTGATGCAGTGATTTGCTTGAGAAAGAAACAGCCATCTTTCTTCTGAAAATTTTAGTTACCATATTGCTTCTTAATTCTTGATGTACATAGTTGTTAAGCCCTTGTAGCACGTTAGTGAGTAGCAAACTAATTTATCCTTTCTGGTTTGTCAACCTAAAGAATAAGAAAACATAAGAATTAGAAATGTCAGGATGCTCCTTTCAGCAGGAACTAAAAAAATTGATTGTGAATAATTCAAAATTTTACATACTATTTCTTCTAGAAGAACAAAGGGAAAATATTGATTTTGTTTGGGAAGTATCTGAAATGTAAACCCTACATCATAATGGTAACTAATTATCTAGCATTAGTGAACATGGCTGAGGTATAAATGATAAAGTTTACACTGTTATTCTTAAAGGGTTTCTCACCCAGTAAAAAATCAGAACATAAGAAATGGATTATGTACTAGTAAAGGAACCATAAGCCTTTCTTTCTCCACTAGAAATTCTGAGATTTACTTTTGTTTTAAGAAAGACATCAAAAGAAAATGGGTAAAGTTCAGAATCAACTGAAGTACTACTAGTAACTGCAGCTTTACTTACAGGAGTTTGAAATTGAAGGTTTTGATATTTCTGTGTTGATGTATTCATGAGCAAATATCCACAAAATTCCACTGTATCACTTCAGGATCTGTACTATTAATTCATAATGCTAAATTTTTACCTATAGATCTCAGAGGGATTTTTCAGACATCCTTAGTAATCTTAGTTAGACTCAGGATAAGACAGTGTATTCTGATCCATTAAAGTAGCCTCATTCCTCTCCATATTCTATCCCTTCAAAAATTCCAGAAGTCAACAATGTGGGTACTAGATCATCTGCCTTTGGGTATATAGGGGTGTAACATTCTGCAAACAAAAGCAGGAGAAATCAGAGCCAAGGGAAACAATCTCTGTGTGTGCTTCTAATATGCCCCTGGACCAGAGATAATTTACACCACTTTCTGCCCTGCACTATGAGTGGATGAAACATCTAGTATCATACATTTTACTTTGCCAAAAAGTGCCTGGGCATGCTTGTGCCCATAGTGATTCTTTCAAGACCATTGTGGAGCTACCTTTTTAATCTTTGTGAATATTTATGAAGCATAACCATTGAAGAACTTGAGCACTGGATATGCTAAGAGAGAAAATATTTTTAGCAACTAGTTTCCTGTCCTTCATAAATACAAGATGTTCTTTAGAAGGTTATTTTTTGTCTTACCCTGGGTCTTGTCACATTAGCTATCTTTATCCTATGCCTGGAGCTGAATTATTTCCACAAAAGTTCCTGATAATATAAGAGATCTTTCTTCATCTTATACCATCTAAATATTATGGACAAATACCTAAATGCAAAGTGAATGTTTTAACAAACTAAAAAAATCAAAACAGAATATTGCCAAGGACAAACAGAGACCTCAAGAGGATTATGGTTTGGTTCAGTTTTATTCTCAAATACTGAAGATGACCAGAAGGTAATAGCAAAAATATAACAGAAATAAATAAAATTTTACTGAAAGAGTGATGAAAGGAAATTCCATCTACTTGAAGTTCAAACATAGAAAGTTTTCTCAAAATGTCTTCTAATAAAAAGAAAAATAATTTAAGAACATGTCTTATTTTAAAACCCATGGGCAGTCCTTTTTTATGTATGAAAAATAAGTTATTTCTCGAAACACTTTCCTCTCAAAACGTTGAGGTTATTTTTTGTTATAAAATAAATCCTTGTTATGCTTGCTGATAAACTGTGTTCCATTATTAATTTTCTCTTGATTTCTTAATGTTCTGGTTGTATAAACAGGTAAGAGATATTAAATCTATTCATTTCCATTACTACATTCTTTAATGTGTAGTTAATCATTTATTAGTTATGGTAATAATGCCACTGTTGTGGGTGCAATCCTTGTATGGGCCAGTGATTTAAAAGTGGACTTCATGATCTTTGTGGGTCCCTTCCAGCTCAGAATATTCTGTGATCCTGTAATCTCATCAGAGGAAGAAATAATTTTACACTATCTCTGCTGAAATCTTCAGCTTTCCCTTGTATTGCTTCTCAGTTTGAGTGCTTTTTTGGATTAGCCTTGGCCAGCAAGCCAGATGCCCACCCAGATGGTCTCTCAGTCCTCCTCTAGAGGACAGAGGGACAAAACAGGATGAGAAAGCTCATGTGTTGAATCTAGATAGAGACATTGCATAGTAGTTATCATCACAGGTAAAACAGCTGACCTAGGAAAACTATTTTAATTTATTTTTTGAAGTAGATTTGGAGAGGTAGAAACAATTTCAAAATTAGCATTACCCTGCCTTTTAATTTCAGCTTCACTTGTGACTGCTCTGCTCATGCTGTGAGGCACAGGGGTTTGCAGTCAGTCCACACCAGCTCCTCTCTGCAGCTCCTACCTCCTCATGCTGTTTCCCTGCCATCACTGTGGGCTCTCCATGTGGGCTGCCATCTTTCAAGAATATCTGTTTCGATGTGGACTCTCCATGGATATTAATTCCTTCAGGAACTATCCTGAAGGATTTCCTCGACCTCCTCTGGAAGGGGATCCGTCATGGAATATGGTGTGGATATGCCCCAACACAGCCCTCTCTCTGTGCTATGAGGAAATACCTAATCCAGTGCCTTAAGTGTTTCTGCTTCACTTCTTTTCTGACTTAGATATTCAGTATTTTTGTTCCCTCCTTCTCTCCCTGTGTGATGGGTTTTTCTCAAATTTTCTTAAATTAATTTTCACAGAGGGGCTGCCAGCAGAGCTGTGGGGCTTAGCTGTGACCTGTGGTGGGTTGGGAACCAGAGGTGTCTAGAACCCACTTTGTCCTGCACGCATCCGTCCTCACAGAGACTGCACCTGGTACACTGCTATAGGTGCCTCCTTTTCAGCCTGCCTAAATCTCTGTTCTCTACATAGAGCCTGTGCTATACACCACCATGAGAAGTCATTCTAGTGAGCCAGTCTTCAAAGTGACAGAAAATTTTTTGTTTTTTCTTGTACTCTTAACTATCAAAATCTTGACAAGTTTAGTCTATCATAGTCTGTCCTGGCTGCTTAGGATTTGGCTGTTTTAGCAGATTAATCAAATACAACGTGCTCACTGTTTTTCCCAATACCACAGTTAGCAACCTACGCATTCTGACACTTTGGGACACACCAGCACACCAGTGCTTTGATCACTTTGGGATCAAAGCACCTATCCAGTGTGCTCCTTTCCTTCTGGCACTTGGAGAGAAGAATTATTCTTTGTCCACTTCTGTAGTGCACTTCACTTCTGCTGATTGAAAGGTTCATATGCTAGCTAGCAGAACAACTTCCATGCAGACGTGTCAGCAGTCATGCCTTGAAATCCATCCACTGTTGTGTTTCATTGCCTCGCTGCGACCCCTGTTGTCTCCTTTGAAATGCCCCTAAACTGCTTATGAGATCTGGGTCCCATGACTCTATCATTGAAAAAAGTATGAACACTGTATCATCCATCCCATAATATATTTTTTAAAATACAAAGACAGAACTATATTTCTTTATCTAATTTAATGGTTTGGTTTTTTATAATACAGCACATATAATACAGTTATATAATACAGTTGGAGATGGGGTGAGGCCATTGAATACTTGAGAATTAGTAAGGTTGTAGCAGTAGGTTGTTATTTCTGATGTGGTCCATAGCAATCAAATGCATTTCCTTATGATGACAGTTTTATGGCCTGCAAGGAATAATTTGCAATAGGTTTAAGTCCATATACAAGTGACTACATCGGAAAAAACACTCAAGTGTAAGTGGCAATAATTGTTAGTTGCAGCAATGAGACCACAAATTGATCAGGTCCTGGAAGAAGAGAACAC